TGTAGTTTATTTACTGCGCTGGAGGCGAGGCTTAGTGAGTTAGAGGAACAGTACCACAGAGATATCTCTTATCTATCAGAGCCCGTCTACGGAGAGCCTGGCCACTCTCTATTAAGTCCCATTGTACCGAATTTTGGTTGCAGTTCCACCAGAGTTCCACTGGGGGCGATCGCCATGAGTGCAGAATGAATGGGAGCAGATGGAGCTAGATGGCTAAATTTGTCTCTTTCACCTGATTCTCGTTGAGAAATCTCAGATTTGATTGTAGTTTTTGCAAGTTCAACATGGGTTATAGGTCGAAAGTTGAATGAACGAGTACTTACGTCCTTTCGATTTCTTACAGGTTGAGTTGTTGTTGCCCATAACGCGCTAGCATTCTGCTAATGAACGCTGATTGGTCAGTGAAGGACTGATTACGACCAGAGATCCCGCTTGATGGCAACGTGGCATCCGAAGCCCGACCACAATGTTAAGGCGGATTTTTTCGCCCAAGTTCTTTTTTTTAACACAGCAACTTTTTGGGGTTTGCTGGTACTTTTATCTGCCTATCGTTATGTCTGTGTTGTCGATGCCTCGATAGAAAAGGAAGTGCCGAGCGCGGAAGCACAAAGTGACTCCAGGCTTGCCATAAAGCAGTATCTCTGGCCGTACGATGTGTATGACGTCATTGACATTTTAAAAGACTTTTTAAAGCAAATAAGTGACTCTAAAAAATCTAACACCCAGCAATGTGTAATTTCTTTGCATCGCCTTTCGTATGCAACATTCAAATTACTAGACAAAAAATTATATCCTGAGAAAAGTAGTTCCCCCGGTAGTTCCTCCGGTAGTTCCCGGCAGCCGGGAAGACAGGGAGGCTGGGTGACTGAGCGAAGGAAGACTAAAACACAGAAGCCCACAGTTCACCACAAATAGATTCAAGTTTCTAATAAATTTTCCCCACTCAGCGACACACCCGCTGAGGAACCGGCAGCTCCATATTCAGAAACTTAAAGTTAGTGAAGCCAGCGGCCATAGTTAAATGTATCCCTGGGGCCAGAGCGGGCGACATTGAATCCTATTTAAAACTGCTGGCTAAAGATAAACGTAAATATGGTAAGATTGTTATCGTCGGCGGTAATGACACCCGTTTACGCCAATCGGAGGTCACCAAAATGAATGTGGAGTCGGTTTGTAACTATGCCAAAACTATGTCGGACTCCGTAGTTTTGGGGAAAACCTGGTCTGATTAGGAGAGACGGCATCCATCCCACTTTGGATGGAGCGGCTCTCTTATCTAGCAATATGGCGAAGTTTATTTCTAAAACCTGACAGTCCAGAGTTGGGACCAGGAAGCAGAGCTGCTGTCTTACACACTTCTCTGCGCTTTCTTTAGAACAGTCACCCACCCAAAACCCCATAGAGACTGTGTCTGTCCCACGACCACCTAAACTATTTAAAGAAATAAAAACAAGAGGAGTTCAACATAAAAATCTAATAAAAATTAAAACTAACTCCTCAGTAGCACAAAATAAGAGAATGAAATGTGGACTGTTAAATATCAGGTCTCTGTCCTCTAAAGCTGTTTTAGTGAATGAATTAATATCAGATTATGATATTGATTTACTTTGTCTTACTGAGACCTGGTTGTCCCACGAGGAGTATGTTAGCCTAAATGAATCCACCCCCCCAGTCATATTAATACTCACATTCCTCGAGGCACTGGCCGAGGAGGTGGAGTAGCAGCCATATATGATTTGAGCGTTTTAATGGACCCTAAACCTAAACTAAATTATAATTCATTTGAAAGCCTTGTTCTTAGTCTTTCTCACCCAAACTGGAAAACACTGCAGCCAGTTCTATTTGTTATAGTGTTCCGCGCTCCTGGACCGTACTCTGATTTTATATCTGAATTCTCAGAGTTTTTATCAAGTTTAGTCCTTAAATCAGATAAAGTAATTATTGTAGGTGATTTTAATATTCATGTGGATGTTAACAATGACAGCCTTAGTAATGCATTTATATCATTAATAGACTCAATTGGCTTCTGTCAGAGTGTAAATAAACCAACTCATTGTTTCACACTCTTGACCTTGTTCTATCATATGGCATTGATATTGAACATTATACATAATCCTTTCCTATCTGACCATTTAATAACCTTTGAATTCATACTATTAGATTATAAGCCATCAGGCAAAACTTCCTACAGCAGATGTCTATCTGACAGTGCTGTAGCTAAATTTAAGGAGGAGATTCCTTCAGTGTTTAATTCAATGTCATGTCTGAATTTAACAGAGTCCTATAACGACTTTAGTCCCTCTGAAATTGATAATCTTGTCGATAGTGCTACAGGCTCACTACAATCAACATTAGACTCTATCGCTCCTATAAAAAGGAAATTATTAAAACATAGGAGATTAGCACCGTGGTATAACCACCAAACCCGCCAGTTAAAACAAATAGCTAGGAAATCTGAAAGGAAATGGCGCTCTTCCAAATTATCAGAATATCGCTCAATTTGGCAAGATAATCTTAAAACTTATAGAAAGGCCCTCCGTAATGCCAGAGGAGCCTATTACTCAGCACTAATAGAAGAAAATAAGAATAACCCCAGGTTCCTCTTCAGCACTGTAGCCAGGCTGACAGAGAGTCACAGCTCTATTGAGCCACATATCCCCATAAACTTAAGTAGCAATGACTTTATGAGCTTCTTTTATAATACAATTATTACTATTAGAGAGAAAATTAATCACCAACTGCCATCAACAGTTATCAGTGGCTCTCCAAGTTCAGGGACTTCTGCCAATGTAAACTTAGATATATATTTACTGTTTTTCTGCTATCGATCTTCATCAGTTAACTTCAAACATTTCTTCATCGAAGCCATCAACCTGTCTATTAGACCCGATCCCAACTAGGCTGCTTAAAGAAGTTGTTCCCTTAATTGCCACTTCTTTACTGGATATGATTAATCTTTCTTTATTATCAGGATATGTACCACAGTCCTTTAAAGTAGCTGTAATTAAACCCCTTCTTAGCCCTCTCTTGACCGATTTCTAACCTCCCCTTCCTCTCTAAGATTCTGTAGAAAGTAGTCGCCAAAGAGTTGTGTGACTTTCTACATAACAATAGTTTATTTGAGGATTTTCAGTCAGGATTTAGAGTTCATCACAGCACAGAGACAGCTCTGGTTAAAGTTAATAATGACCTTCTGATTGCTTTTGACAATGGACTTGTCTCTGTACTTGTATTATTAGATCTTAGTGCTGCATTTGACACCATTGACCATAACATTCTTTTACAGAGACTTGAGCATCAAATTGGCATTAAAGGAACCGCACTAAGCTGGTTTAAGTCATATTTATCAGATCGCTCGCAGTTTGTACATGTTAACGATGAATCTACAATAAATACTACAGCTAGTCATGGAGTTCCACAAGGTTCTGTACTTGGACCAATACTATTTACTTTATATATGCTCCCTTTAGGCAACATTATTAGGAATCACTCCATTAACTTTCACTGTTATGCAGATGATATGCAGTTGTATCTATCAATCAAGCCCGATGAAATTAATCAATTATCTAAATTACAAACATGTCTTAAGGACATAAAATCCTGGATGAGCTGCAATTTTCTGATGTTAAACTCAGAAAAAAACGAAATTCTTGTTCTTGGCCCCAAAAACCTTAGAGACTCACTGTCTAAAGATATAGTTACTCTAGATGGCATTACCTTGGCCTCTAGCACCACTGTCAGGAATCTTGGAGTTATCTTTGATCAGGATTTGTCATTTAACTCCCACATAAAGCAGACCTCTAGGACTGCCTTCTTTCATTTACGTAATATTACAAAACTTAGACACATACTATCACAGACAGATGCAGAAAAACTAATCCATGAATTTGTTACTTCAAGGCTAGATTACTGCAACTCCTTATTATCAGGTTGCCCCAATAAGTCCATTAAAACGCTCCAATTAATTCGGAACGCTGCAGCACGAGTACTGACAGGAACTATAAAAAGAGATCACATCTCTCCTGTACTAGCTTCTCTGCATTGGCTCCCTGTAAAATGTAGAATAGAATTTAAAATCCTCCTCCTCACCTATAAAGCTCTTCATGGTCAGGCCCCTTCATATATTAAAGAGCACATAGTACCCTATTACCCCTCTAGAACACTACGTTCTCTGAATGCTGGGCTACTTGTGGTTCCTATAGTCTCTAAAAGTAGAACAGGAGCCAGAGCCTTCAGTTACCAAGCTCCTCTCCTGTGGAACCAGCTTCCAGTTGTGGTTCGGGAGGCAGACACCCTCACCACATTCAAGAGTAGGCTTAAGACATTCCTCTTTGATAAAGCTTATAGTTAGGGCTGGATCAGGTGAGTCCTGAACCATCCCTTAGTTATGCTGCTATAGGCCTAGACTATCGGGGGATTTCCCATGGTGCACTGAGCTTCCTCTCTCTTTCTGCACTCATTCATGTCCCATTAATGCATGTTACTAACTTCACTTCTTCCCCGGAGTTTTTGTGCTTTCTCGTCTCGCAGGTTCTTATCGATCCTGGTTGGGGCCTCCTGCCATGGTCCTGCTAGATTGCCATTGCCAATACTGTTGTTGCTGTGCACCTGTCTGTCTGTCTGTCTGTCTGTCTGTCTGTCTCTCTCTCTCACCCCAACTGGTCGAGACAGACGACCACCCACCTAGAGCCGAAGGATCTGTCCTAGGTTTCTGCCTTTTAACAGGCAGTTTTTCCTTGCCCTTGTCGCCAAGGTCTTGCTCATGGTGGTACTGTTGGGTCTCTGTAATTAATGTTTTAAAGAGTTAGGTCTAGACCTGCTCTATTTGAAAAGTGTCCTGAGATAACTTCTGTTATGAATTGGCGCTATACAAAGAAAATTGAATTGAATTGAATAGAATTGAATTGAATTAACCCACAAGAGCCCACAGCAGCCAATCTTCCAGTTATGCTTTAATACCAGTTTAGTTTCTTTAATACATCCAGTGGGCATTTACTCACGTCCTTCATGTCGGTGAGGTGTAGTCCTGTATTCTCCGTCCATCCTGTAGGAACAAACACAAAAACAGCAGTTATCTCTCATGAAGAGAGTTAAAATGGTCAGCCTTCTTCTTCTCAATCTATCAACCTGATTTTTACAGCCGAGCTATGAGTGCATTCACATGAAACGGAGTAGTCTGGAGTGGTGGGCTTCAATAATGGCCAATCACATCAGCTCCTTTCATCCATTGTGAGAGCAGCAGAATACGTTATGGGTCCAAACAGCTTGACAGGAGACTCTAGACTGACTTCTCTGGAGGAACCGTTCTGCACAGGAATGTCCCCAAGCACAGATATAGTAGAGCAGCCAGTATGTTCAAATGTGGAACCCAAATAAAGGCCTACTACATATTAATAATATATGACCACATACATTTCATCCAAAAGATGATCACGTCCCCTTTGAGGTGGGTTTATGATCCAGGAGATGCAAAATTTTCTATGATTCTTCTCTATGAGGTCTCTGTGCTTGTCCACTAACTACACTTCCAACCAGACTGAGAGACTGCAGTCATGCTAGCGTCTCTCAAATCTGTCATTACACACAGTGGAGCTTGGAGCTAAATTCTAACATCAGCATGCTAACATGCAGATGTTTACCAGGTATAATGTGCACCATCTTTTTATAGCATATTAAATGGTAAATGGACCTCTACTTGTATAGCGCCTTTCTAGTCTTCCGACCACTCAAAGCACTTTTACACTATGTGCCACATTCACCCTTTCACACACATTCACACAGTGATGGCAAAGCCCATCGAACATAAAACTAACATTCACACACCAATGCACGGCATCGGGAGCAGTTTGGGGTTCAGTATCTTGCTCAAGGATACTTCGACATGTGACAGGAGGAGCTGGGGATTGCACCACCAACCTTCCGATTAGGGGACAACCCACTCTGCCTCTGAGCCACAGCCGCTCCGATATTAAGGCCTTCACTTTTTCAAGCTGTTACGTGCTGCAGTGTGACCCCAAGACCCCTGAGAGCTCTGCAAGCTTATACCGGTAAGAATAGTTTCGATGCAATATATTCACAAGAGAGTACTTCACATTTTTGTATTGTTTATTCATCAGGTCTCCCCTGTGTAAAGGCTTTTAGCATGCTAACATTAGCCAGTTAGTAGTAAAGACAAAGTCAAGCTGAATCTCATGGGAATGTCATTAGTTCTACAGGTGTTTTCTCATAAACTAAAGTATTGGAAAATGTCCACTGATGATGGTGCCAGAGGAAAAGTATGTAAAGAATGTCTGAACCTCATTTCATTACAATCCATCCAACAGTTGTACATTATTGAATTGTATTTCTTTGTGTGAACAGTTCAGGTCAGTTTACAGTACAAACTGTTTCTTACTTGAAGTCTGAAGGTCCAGGTTCATCACTGAAGCCTGGAGGTTTGTATTTAAACCAGCTGGATCCTGGAGACTCTGATCTGTCCTCCTCTGTCTCCAAATCACTCATTTCACTCAAGAACCTAGACAAATATACCCAGATACATTGCAGATAGACTTTCATCAAGGAAATGATCATTTATAGCCAATAACAACTGGACTCATCAGCACAGACTGACTTCAACTCACTACAAACCTCAGAGTATGCAGGCTATAGAGTGGATTCTTCAGAAGAATAGAAAGCAGCTTCACTCCTGTATCCTGCAGGTTGTTGTTGTCACTCAGGTCCAGCTCTCTCAGATGTGAGGGGTTGGACTTCAGAGCTGAGACCAGATAATCACAGCTGATGTCTGACAAACTGCAGTCACCCAGACTGGAAAAAGAATGCATTACAAAGATAACAATAATTTATAATCCAATCAGATGTGTTCAGGTTTTAAATGTGGAGATCAACATTACTATGTCCTAATCAAAGAGCTTTTCTCTAAAATGAGTAGAGTGACTTTGTCATTGTGTTATTGTGGATCATCATAATGTCAGCCTTCTACAGACATCATCCAAATGTCAGCACAACATTCATTCATACACCTATTGATGTCAACACTGATCAATAACATGCTACTAATCTTAGTCAGGTCTGGAATCAGAGGATCAATAAGAAATCAGAGATGTTGGACTAAAAACTGTCCATTACTTCATGTATTACATGATCTTCTTTCTGTATTTGGAAGCTTAGTAGGTAAATGTCATTAAAAGGAGATTCATTCATACACATATTGATGTCAACACTGATACTGATCTCAATCAGGTCTGTAATCAGAGGATCAATACTATATTGATCCTTTATAGAGCTGTGCGTGCGTGCGTGCGTGCGTGCGTGTGTGTGTGTGTGTGAAGGATCAATATCAATGATCAGACATTACACTCCTGAACAAAATCTTAAGACGGTGGAAAAATTGCAAGTATTCGCATTTTGCGTTGGTGGAACGTAACCAGATTCTAAGTAGAGCTTCAAAATGCAAAAAGAAGAAACAGGAGCAAGAGACAAAATAATAGATTAGGCAGTTTATTGAAAACTGCATTTAAACTCAAACAGGCTGTTCATCAGCTCATCAAAAGTTTAAGCTTAAAAAGTCAAAATCTGTGCACAAATCTGGCTGTCTGTCATTTTCTATCAGGCATTCACGCTGTCATGACCCCCTGATGGCAAAGGCAAAAGGCTTTCTGCCTTTGAACGTGGTAGGATTGTTGAGCTGCACAAGAAAGGCCTCTTGCAACGCGCCATCGCTGCCGAGGTTGGACGCAGTAAGACAGTCATTTTACATTTCTTAAAAGGTCCTGAGGGTTATGGGACAAAAAAATCAAGTGCTAGACCCAAAAAAATTTCACCTGCGCTGAGCCAGAGGATCCAACCATTGTCTTAAGATTTTGTTCAGGAGTGTATTTGTAAAAGCACATTGAAATGAACAGAAAGCAAATAAATATTTCTCCTTCAGTAAAGTTGATCAATGTAAACAAATATTAGTTCAGAGGATCTTCTGTATCCAGATGTGACCATTTACCAACAATGATAAACATTAATTTACTTCAACAACTAACAGCGGACATTTTCTACAGTTTCTATAAGAAACACAAGTCTTTGTGACTGCAGACGAAATTTAGTTCAACAAACATGAAAATATGAAGAAAAGGAAATGTACAACTTTATGGATGTAAGTTATGTATGAACATAAATTAGGTTCAATTGTTAATGAAACATATCAGATCTACAACAGTAACAGAGAGTCAGTGAACTGACCTCAGAGTCTCCAGTCTACAGTGTGGACTCTCCAGAAAACCACACAGCAGCTTCACTCCTGAATCCTTCAGCTTATTGAGACTCAGGTCCAGCTTTCTCAGATGGGAGGGGTTGGACTTCAGAGCTGAGACCAGAGAATCACAGCTGATCTTTGACAAGCTACAGCACCTCAATCTGAATAAAGAATAAAAGATGTGAGTTTAGAAGACAATGTTCCTGCTTGAAATCATTCAGTGTTTAATAATCTGCTCAGAGCTGAAGAAGGTTTACAATGTACAAGTTTAGAAAATGGAAACTCCAAACACCTGAACCCAACAGGATGCAGGTTGCAAACTGTAAAATACAAAGAGTGAAAAAGAGCTCTCATTAATATTAATGACAACGTGCTGCTGCTTCAATAAAGACGTAGTGACTTCAGCTCTTAACCTCTGCCAGCTCCACCAGTGGCTCCATCTATACAAACTCATGTTGTGCAGCCAAACACAAAGAAAAACCCACAGAAAGTGATTGAAGGTTCCACTCAAGATCCCAAAGTTTACCAAGATACCAAATATGTCAGGATGGATTTTGGGGAAATATGAACAAAAGACATCTACAATATTTCTTTTAGGATATCATAAAATGTCATAAAATCAAATCAGCTTCAGTTTAAACTATTCAGTCAGTATAAGCATCATATAGCTTCATAACAATGTTGGAAAAAGTAAAAAGTGAATCTATTTGTTATTGTCTGATAGTTGAAATAGAGATTATTGATTTATTCATTGTATTCATTGTCATCATTTCTTTTAAAACACATGATGGGGAATATAAGATGGAAATAAAGAGTGAATTATTCAGTGTAGATTCTTCTTGTTATATGAAGGTCTTAAATGTGGAGTTCAACATTGCTCTGCCACAGTCAATGGACTAAACCACTGAAGAAGAAAACAGACTTTAGCATTAAGATACTCAGTGTGGATCAGTATAATATCAGCCTTATGTCTACACTTTACTGTCAGTGTAACGGGGTAGAATACACATGGTTTAATTATGGCAAAAGTGGCAAAAGTGGGGCAACAGTGCCATCTACTGGCACGGCAGTAGATATGACATTGTGGGTTGGTGTTTATCAACTACACAGAGTGATATGCACTGTGGTAGGTCACATTCTCTCACATGGTCTGGGATAATTAATAATTTTGTGAGATTCCAAATGTTCATACTTTGTATTTTACCGTGTAATGTACACATATTGACTTTAGCTAACTGTCTTGAGCCCAGACTATAAGCTATCTAGTCTTTAAAATGATATTTTAGAAACTTGCTGAAACGTACATTGTCAGTGTTACCCTAGCATAATTATTTGCACCTGTTCCATGTTTTATTCAGACTGTTATCCTGAGACCAATGCCGATTGACATACCACTGTCGTACTGTGTTACAGGTAATATTCTATGCATTTCTGTGTTAGTTTTCATGATGTTTTATTGCATGTTATTGTTTGTCTGCGTGAGCAGCCCTTTTTAACTGTTCAGTTAAGTAGCTCACGCTAGTTTGGCTAGCTCATAGTTTAGTGAAGCAGCCTGTTGATTAGGTGTGTATGATGTATACCTGTGCAGTGTTTATGCTCACCTTATGCTAAATGGTGAATTGGCTTTTCCATCTTTTCTTATATTATAAAACGGATTACTGTGGGGTGTTTTCACCAGTATAATGTCAGTGCATATGGAGATGTATTTGATTGTGCAAATTTGAATAGAATATAGCCTAAGGCATTGTAATGTACTAGAATATATTAGGTAATATACACTATACGATCACATCAAGCTATAATAATTTCTGTTGTATTATTATTATTATTATTTTTGTTTATGGAACTACACAGAGTGATACAGAATTCAATTCAATTCAATTCAATTTTATTTGTATAGCGCCAATTCATAACAGAAGTTATCTCAGGACACTTTTCAAATAGAGCAGGTCTAGACCGAACTCTTTAACATTGCACTGTGACTGTTATCCTGAGACCAATGCTGATTGACATACCACTGTTGTACTGTGTTACAGAGCGATAAGGAAAGTACTGTGCAATAAAGAGCCCTGTAATCCACCTGGCCGTCTGTGATGTGTAGAAGCAACAGTACTGTGGAGCTGCACCTCATCACATACAATTGTGACTCGTCACATCAGCACAACTTTCACATAAGATTCATCTCAGCACAGAAGGAAAAAATGGTGTCTGACCTCAGAGTCTCCAGTCTACAGTGTGGACTCTCCAGAAAACCACACAGCAGCTTCACTCCTGAATCATACAGGTTGTTGTTACTAAGGTCCAGCTTTCTCAGATGGGAGGGGTTGGACTTCAGAGCTGAGACCAGATAATCACAGCTGATCTCTGACAACCTGCATAGCCTCAATCTGAATAAAGAATAAAAGATGAAGATAAAGTAATTTATAATTCAATCAGATATGTTCAGGTTTTAAATGTGGAGATCAACATTACTATGTCCTAATCAATGAGCTTTTCTCTTAAATGAGTAGAGTGACTTTGTCATTGTGTTATTGTGGATCATCATAATGTCAGCCTTCTACAGACATCATGCAAATGTCAGCATAACATTCATTCATACACCTATTGATGTCAACACTGATCAATAACATGCTACTATTCTTAGTCAGGTCTGGAATCAGAGGATCAATAAGAAATCAGAGACGTTGGACTAAAAACTGTCCATTACTTCATGTATTACATGATCTTCTTTCTGTATTTGGAAGCTTAGTAGGTAAATGTCATTAAAAGGAGATGAAGCGTGTCTTAAAACAACAGCCACATGCTATATGTACATTCAATGAGTTATTGATGGCATGATGGCAGTAATCATTCCTCCTGTACATACTGAGTATGAAGAGTGAGAGGCAAATCAAGAGGGCATCTCCCAAAGATACTATTTAGAACCTAATTCATTGTTTCGATTCCTCCACTGCAGCTCAACAAGGAAACAGTCAAACACTAAATACGTACTTTATATGTGTAACTCAGACTGTTGAAGCCTTATATTAGTTCTAGTTAAACTTCATTTTCACACAGAACAAGACTGTGGATTGTTTCCTCCATCTTGTAACAATGGAGTCAGGTTATAAGAGACTTCCTCACAGACAGTATGGATAGAATGAATGATTGCAGACACCAATAACTCTCTGAATGAACATATGGACCTGTGAGTACTGTACTGAAACAGTATGAACCTGTCCTTTAAGACAAAGATTCCAGTGCAGTCTAATGGTCTGTGGCTTCAAATAATAAATGCAGACATGAAAACAGCAACAGTTAGATCTGCTCTTCTTTGACTTTAAGTAGGTGTAATAAGTGTTTGTTGGAGAGTGCTTCAAATGAGCAACAGAACCAGAGGAACTGTGAGTTTGATGAGCATTTTAATCTTCATCAGGCTTCTAAAACTTTACTGGACTTCAAGATCAAAAGATCTATGAATAAACTCCATGTTTCATTTCTTAAAGATAAAAAGTTTGATGATTCTTAAATAGTTTGATCTGTTTGGGAACTGAAACTCTTTAAAGACTAAATAGATTCTGTTGTTGCTCTAAATTACTGAGACTGCTCTCAGCTACCATCTTTGTGTAGTCACTACAACAGAGTCTGTTTTGTCCTGCAACTTAAAATCCTCCAACAGACCTTGAATCCTACTTGTTGTCACATTTTTACTGCTGTTTATTACTCCTAGCTCTGGTTTAACGCCCAGCACAGCACAGCAGCCAAACCTGTGTGGGTTGTCTCTGTAGCAGCCACATCAGCTTCTGATATCATGAAGATCAAAAAACAACATAAGCTACAGTGACTGAACTGACCTCAAAGTCTCCAGTCTACAGTTTGGACTCTCCAGTCCAGCAGACAACAGCTTCACTCCTGAATCCTGCAGGTTGTAATTGAGACTCAGGTCCAGCTCTCTCAGATGGGAGGGGTTGGACGTAAGAGCTGAGACCAGAACCTCACAATGAGTGTCTGAGAGTCCACAGCCAGAAAGTCTGTCATGACATATATATAAAAAACTATAAAATGTTAGAAATAAAAAGTTAATTAACTTGACAGCTATGAACAACCAACTATTTATCTCTCACAGCATCTGTGACAAAACATACTGACTAACATATAATGTATGTAATGGAAGACAAGTGGAAAACATTTTGTGGTGTTTATATTTGAAGAACTAAACTACTAATCTACACTCATTTATAATGTTAATGACATCTGGACTTACTGAGCCTTTCTGCAGTACCTCACAGCTGGAATCAGTCTCCGTCGTCCCTCCTCCGATGTGTTGTACTTCTTCAGATTCAACACATCGAGAACCTCCCATGACATCTGCAGAATGTAGGCCAGAGCTGAGCAGTGGATCTCAGAGAGTTCCTTCTCTGATCTGTTCTCTGACTTCAGGAACTCTTGGATCTCCTGATGGACTGAGTGGTCGTTCATCTCCATCAGACAGTGGAAGATGTTGATGCTTCTGTCAGGAGATATTTTGTGGGTGTTCATCTGCTTTAGGTTGTTGATGACTTTCTGGATGATTTCTGGACTGTTGTCTGTCTGACCCAGCAGGCCTCCTAAGAGTCTCTGGTTAGACTTCAGAGAGAGGCCATGAAGGAAGCGAACAAACAGGTCCAGGTGGCCATTTTTACTTTTAAGGGATTTCTGCATGGCGCACCTCAGGAAGTCATTCAGGGTTGAACCAACAAGTTTTTGTCCCAGGAAGTCCTCCAGTACGTCTGTGTTGCTGTTGGTGTGACAGTGGAACATGTAGACGGCAGCCAGAAACTCCTGAATGCTGAGATGAACGAAGCAGTAGACTGTTTTCTGGAAGATCACACTCTCTCTTTTGAAGATAACTGTACAAACTCCTGAGTACACCAAGGCCTCTGTGACATCAAGACCACACTGCTCCAGATCTTCTTGATAGAACATGATGTTTCCTTTCTCCAGCTGTTCAAACGCCAGCCTCCCCAGCTTCAGAAGAACTTCCCTGTCAGCCTCCATCAGCTCCTGTGGACTCGTCTCATGTCCCTCATCATACTTCTGCTTCTTCCTCTTTGTCTGAACCAGCAGGAAGTGTGAGTACAGGTCAGTCAGGGTCTTGGGCAGCTCTCCTCTCTGGTCTGTAGTCAACATGTGGTCCAGAACTGTAGCAGTAATCCAGCAGAAGACTGGGATTAGACACATGATGTGGAGGCTCCTGGAGGTCTTGATGTGTGAGATTATTCTGTTGGACAGATCTTTATCACTGAATCTCCTCCTGAAGTACTCCTCCTTCTGGGCGTCAGTGAAGCCTCGTACTTCTGTTACCCTGTCAACACATTTAGGAGGGATCTGATTGGCTGCTGCAGGTCTGGAAGTTATCCAGACGAGAGCCGAGGGAAGCAGATTCCCCTTGATGAGGTTTGTCAACAGCACGTTGACTGAAGACTTCTGTGTGACGTCAGACACAACCTCATTGTTGTGGAAATCCAGTGAAAGTCTGCTTTCATCCAGGCCGTCAAAGATGAACAAAAGTTTACAGACAGCGAGCTGCTCTGCTGTGACCTTCTGTAATGTTGGATGGAAAACATGAATTAGCCTGAGAAGACTGTACTGCTCATCTTTTATCAGGTTCAGCTCCCTGAATGAAAGCAGAACCACCAGACTGACATCTTGGTTCTCCAAACCCACTGCCCAGTCCAGAGTAAACTTTTGCACTGAGAAGGTTTTTCCAACGCCAGTGACGCCGTTCGTGAGAACCACTCTGATGTGTCTCTGTTGGTCAGGTAAGGCTTTAAAGATCTCGTGGCACTTGATTGGAGTGTCATGGAGGATCTTCTTGGAAGCTGTCTCAAGCTGCCTCACCTCATGTTGAGTATTAACCTCTTCACTCTGTCCCTCTGTGATGTAGAGCTCAATGTTGATCCTGATTCCTAGTTCAGTTACACATTCACATTTCCTCCTCAGACTGATCTTGTGTTCATCTAAAACCTCCTGCAGACCAACATCCACTGTAAGATAATAAAAAAGGTCTAAATTATAAACAGTGTATGATGGAGAGATGAAGATTTTTTTAAAGGCAGAAAAACTTGATGATTAAATACTACATGACTGTTGCAACACAAGAAGAATTCAGTTTTCAGTCATCAGCAGACAGATGTTCAGTCTTACTTTGTACAGAGCTGGTCTGACTGTCTGTCTGCAGTCCTGCTCTTGTTCTGGATCTTCCTCCACACTGGGGACAGGAGGAGTCTCCAGATGAACCAGACTGGTCCCAGTATGAGGTGATGCACTGTCTGCAGAACCAGTGTCCACAGCTGGTAGAGACCAGATCCTTCAGGATGTCCTGACACAAAGAACAGCAGGACAGGTGCTCCTGCACAGGAACATGACTCCTCTTCCTCTCTCTGTGGACAAAAAGACATTTATTTTAACATTAAAACCTTTTCATGGATAACTAAAGCCAAATATTTGACCAACACTGTGGAAATGATTAGATAACAGAACGCTGCCACAGAGCCCTGTTTCAATTGTATGAGTTCAACCAGCAGAGCAAACTGTCGGGTCTCAGACTGTGGGTGTCTCCACCTGCTGTTCTGGTTCATGTATGTGCAGCAGCACAAAGTGTTACAGTGCTGGATAAAGGTGACAGCAACAGCTGAACTAATGAAGAAACAATATTGAGATTGTCTGTTTCTTCACAACTGGTCAGTTTACGACTGGAACGACTTCGCATCGATCTCACAAAGGACAATACAGAAAGACACACAAAGTTAAATACAGGGAGGAAACACAGAACAAAGAAAGTTTGGAATTGTAATGACAACAACAACAGCACACACTACAACAGCTCTCTATCTGGCTTTGGGGGCCTCCCATAAAACCACTGGGCCCTCCTAGAAAATATCTGACCCTCATATAAAACTTATAGTGCCCCCTACTGGCAACAGGAAATTACATGTTTTCTACTTTCATGTACGACTCCGACTGACCAGATCCATGTTATGCATCTTGTGAGTGTTCATTGAACCCTGTTTTCATGTCTATACAGCCAATGTTGATGTATAGTTCTTATGAATTCATCACACGCGCTTGAAAAGTCATGAAACCCGGCACAGGAGTCACAAATAGTGGGGCATTACATTTTATGTTGGTCTTGTGAGTGGGTGTTGCAAAATGTCAAGAAAGCAGCCATTTCGAGAGGAGATTAACCAAGTTCCTGCTTCTGGGAGTTTGAGAGTCGCTACAGAGAGCAAAAGTGTTTGTCTTTGTCTTCTGTCAGCAGCTTCACCCTGAAACCAGCTGCAGATGTGCATGTTGCAACCTGTCTGTCACTGTGTGTAATGTAGCAGAGACTCAGCAGTTCCATTAAAGGTTTGAATTCTCTCATGTTTCAGTTTGATGCAGAACAAAAGCTCTTCTTTATTTGATAGATAAGTTTGTTCATGATATTTGAAGACCTTTTCTCCCTTTAATACTATGATCAGACTGTCTGTCCTCAGCTGTGAGATCACTGAGGAAGCTTCCTGTTTGATTTAATAATGTTCAAACTATAATGATAACGCTTTTGATCTTCAGTAAAGTGAAGTCAGACACACACAGCTGAACACTCACCTGTTGTCTTCTTTCTGCTGTCTGAACCGAGTCACTGATCACTTCCTCATTTATTCACTTCCTCATGACATTCCTGTGACTCAGCCCCCTGTGGTTTCACTGAGATGTACCAGCAGTGAGTCCTAACTTTCAAACTGAACTCCCTCTGGAGGAGCAACAGTGCGTCTGTGTCCTTTGTAATGTAACGGTTCTCCAACAGGACAAATGTGTTTCTCGAGAACAATTAAAGGCTGAATAACTTTAAAAGTTTGGACCTCGCCCAACAAACACACCATCAGCGACAAAGTGAAACAACTTTCTTTATTTAACAAAACATTTAACAAAAGTTCATATAATATTATGAAAATATTAATCAACTTTAATATTATATGAAATAAGTCAAACTTAATATAATATGGGAATATTAGTAGAAGTTAATATACATATTAATATAATATTATATATATAATAATATGTATAATATAATATAATATATCTCTTCATATCATTTATTTGCACCATGTTGAGGTCATGTTATGGCTGCGTGGCGTTTTGTGTCTCTGTGATTGTGTAAATTGAAGTGTAGTTAAAGTCTGTTGAGTTGGCGTCCCACACAGATGATCACTGTGATTTTTTAAACTGTTTTTATATCAACAATTCTTTCTTTTATTTTAAATATACTGAATATGGTTAGAAGCAGAAAGGTTTGACTGTCAGAGGCTGTTTTATATTTATCTATCAGACTGACTGGCACTCAGCAGTGAATGAGGAAGTTCAGCTGGTAGTTTGTTGGTTTGAACAGCAGGTGTTGCTGCTGCACAACAAACGCCTGAGAGTCTGACACACTTTACCTCATGTTTCTCTTTATTACGGATGGATCACACGTCATAAACAACTAATCAGTAAAGAAATTATCAAATGATTATTAGTAACTATAGAAAGAAAAAAATATAAATATTTCACTCTTTTACAGGTAATTTCTATAATAATCATAATTTTAGTTTTGTAGATTATTGATTGAATATAGAACATAGCTCTAGAGTGTATACACTGTTTAATGATTATAGATTATTGATTGAATATAGAACATAGCTCTAGAGTTTATACACTGTTTAATGATTATAGATTATTGATTGAATATAGAACATAGCTCTAGAGTTTATACACTGTTTAATGATTATAGATTATTGACTGAATATAGAACATAACTAGAGTTTATACACTGTTAATGATTTTGGATTATTGATTGAATATAGAACATAGCTCTAGAGTTTATACACTGATTTATGATTATAGATTATTGATTGAACATAGAACATAGCTCTAGTGTTAGTACATTATAGATTTCAATCAGTAAATGTTTTGAGTTGTGTTTCAGTTTCCAAATGAGAGTGAGAATGTGGAGGAAGATTTTCTTTTCTTTTCCCACCTTGAACACAGAAAAATAAAACTGCTGGAGTGGAACCAAGAACCACTGAGTGATTCTCTATAGAAGCCCAAAAGTACCCGACTGGTTCGGTCAATAAAACCCTTTAAATGTAGCTGGGGAAAAAAAGAAAGAAAGAAAGCTGCTAATTAAGTAATTGATTGACAATTAATGATGTTTTATGTTTCTGTTAAAGATTTTGATATCAAGAGTAAATGGGATTTACATAGCGAATATCTGCATACATAAAGATCATTTTATGTCACCTTCACTTCATTTGTGTATCAGAAATTATTATCAGGACAATATACTGTAAATACAGAGCTGTGCTATAGTGTCATTAGATCAGTTTTACTGATGGACTCATGCTTCAGGAGCAGTTTATTGTTGAGGTGAAGCTGTAATTTATCTGTTGTTTATTTTCTCTTTTCTGAGTGATTTTTAAGGTGTAAGAAAATTGTGAGAAAGTGAATGTTTAAGTTTTGATGTTCAGTTTGGTGTAAAACAAAGAAAATCCTCACATTTAAGAAGCTGAAACCCTCCAAATCTTTCAGGTATTTTTACCTAACAAAATACCATCAAACTGTACTTAAGAGTAAAAATACTTAGTTACTTCCCACCACTATTGTGCATCTAATGTATGAACAGAGTGAAGAAGAGGAGGAGGGAGATGAAGGAACGTTGGGAGCTGCATGTTTGAGTGATTTTAGTGCCGTTATATCAGAGAAAGCAGCTGGTGTCTTCCACTCTTCACCTCCATCACTCTGCTCCTTTCATCTCAACCTGAGGGGGGTGGGGGGGTCAAACCTTGTGTCTGACCCCTCCACCCCCAAAGCTTTTTATTTACCAACAAAATAACATGTTTATACCCCCCCAAAAAAAAAGAGCTGTGTGCAATCAATCAGTCACAGGTGGCTGTTATTTTTACTGATTCTTAAATGAGATTTGGTGCTGTATGTTTATATCAGTCAGTCTAATGATACAATAAATTCATATTTGATCACAACCGAAAAGGAGGAACCATAGGAGCATGGAAGTCAACAACGGATAAAGATTTTATAATATTGTGACATAAAGCAATGAGAATATAGAACATATTGATATTAAAGAAGAATGAAAGAACAAACCAAACCAAACTCCATTGAGAAAACAGGAAAAACAACAAAGACTGAACTGAAAATCTCTCCAGCAACACAACAACAACAATAACAACAACAACAACAACAACAACATGGCAATACAGTGGAATATTTTCTGAATTGTTTAATGTCTCACTCTGGTTTCAGATCTGTTATCTGCTGAAACTTTGCTGGGGTGTCCAGAAGGTGGCAGAAATATGAGATTTAATCTCAAACCATCACATAGATCGTCACTTAGGAGAAATATCTAAAGGAGGCGTTAGAAATCAATACATTGTTTTATTTCAAACTTGATCAACTGAACTACTTCTATTGGACAAATGAATATATAACCTTATATAGTTGGCCGAATGTGGCCAGAAATAAGCGGACAGCTGCTCATACAGCCTCCAACGTCTGTGTTTGGGTGGATGTGAGGGACCTTCGACTCTGCTCCTGTTTTGATCCTTTTGTCTACTTGAGCTCCTCTTGTTTCCTCCTCCTCTCTGCTCTGCTTTCATCTTCCAGCTCCTCCACATTCTCTCCGTCCTCCTAATGCTCTCTTGTTGTGTCTCAGTGTTTAAAGCCCACCTGCTCACCTCCTCTCCACCTTTTCATCTCCTCCCTGCTGCTCCCTTTCTCTCCTCCTGACTCCTGATGGATGAGGAGACATTGAGATATAACTGTACATACAGTATATTCTATAGTTCTCCTTCATGCAGTATCTGTCCACCCTAACTTATAGTACATATCAGAAATATACAAAACATATATAATAAATATAATATAAATAACCATCAAAATATACTTAAAGTACTCTTTATGCAGAATATGTATGTATACATATATATTTATTGATATATATATACATATATTACACATTAGTACTGCAGAATAAGAGCTTCATGTTAAACACAGTGGACATGTTGTTGTTGTTCAGACTGAAGGAGAAAGTGATGGATGACTTTCTGTGTTTACAGCTAACAGGACAGGTACAGGTGAGTGTCCAGGTGTGTGTGACACTCTCAGGTTACCTGTGCGTGTGTGTGTGTGTGTGTGTGTGTGTTTGTGTGTGTGTGTGTGTTTGTGTGTGTGTGTCTGTGTGTGTGTGTGTGTGTTTGTGTGTGTGTGTCTGTGTGTGTGTGTGTGTGTAAGTGTGTGTGTGTAAGTGTGTGTGTGACTTGAGCTGTTTGGATCAAACACTCTCTGCTTGTTGTGTGTTTTCATCGGCTCATTAACTCCAACAACACAACATGTCCGTCCCAACGGCGGACAGAGGACGTTAATGACAGGGTGTCATCTCTTCTTCTTCTAATGCCCCCTGTCCCTGCACTAATGCCACAGTAAGGTAAATTAAATTATGATGACATTAATCCCTCACATTATAAAACAGCCTCGCTGTATGTGCTGACTAACAGTTAACTAAGGTAGCATTAGCTTACCTGCGTAATGTGTGGTACGGGGGGGCTGTCTAAATTAAAATTTCTGCTTAATTGACAGCGATATTAGTCGCCAGGAACTTCCTTCTAGTTCTAACAAGGTTTCATCTCTTCTTCTTTTGTGTTACTAACGGTACAACGCAAACACCAACCTTGCTGTTTCTATGTTAGCTAGCAAGCTAATGTTATTGGTGCTCACCACAATTAATAAAAACAAACAGATGCACAAAGACAGTAAAAATATAAACAACAGGTAAACTCCCTGAAGACGTGATCACAGGTGTGTGTGTGTGGGATGACTTGTTTTACTGTATTCAGGGGTCCAAAAACCAGAAGCTCACTGTACTTGTGAGGTCCGACCGGTTTGTGAGGACTGTGTGAGGGTTAACACCTGGTTGTGGGGTCAGGGGTCAATGACTGGCAGTGACGCGTCCCCACAGACATACTAACACAAGGACGTGTGTGTGTGCCAGGGTGTTAGCGTAGCTAGCGTAGCTAGCGTAGCTGACATTCCTGCTGCGGATCAGTGAGGAGGACAAAGAAACAGCATCCATCATGTGACGGTCTGCAGGTAACACACCTGAGTGACACACCTGAGTGACACAGCTGGGACGGCTCACAGGTACCTGGAGTCAGTTTATCACTGATCACTGAGACCCCATTAATTTAACATTAACAGTGTTCAGGTAGACAGGTACAGAGACAGACAGGTACAGAGACAGACCGGTAAAGAGTAAGACAGGTAAAGAGTAAGTCAGGTAAAGAGACAGACAGGTACGGAGACAGACAGGTAAAGACACAGACCGGTACAGTCACAGACAGGTAAAGACACAGACCGGTACGGACACAGACAGGTAATGACACAGACAGGTACAGACACAGACCGGTACAGAGACAGACAGGTAAAGAGTAAGACAGGTAAAGAGTAAGTCAGGTAAAGAGACAGACAGGTACGGAGACAGACAGGTAAAGACACAGACCGGTACAGACGCAGACAGGTAATGACACAGACAGGTAAAGACACAGACAGGTAATGACACAGACAGGTACGGACACAGACCGGTACAGACACAGACAGGTAAAATGCCAAGGTCTTGCTCATGGTGGTACTGTTGGGTCTCTGTAATTAATGTTAAAGAGTTCGGTCTAGACCTGCTCTATTTGAAAAGTGTCCTGAGATAACTTCTGTTATGAATTGGTGCTATACAAATAAAACTGAATTGAATTGAAAATTAAAGACACAGACAGGTAATGAGCAGCAGATCTGGGGTCAGGTCACTTGCTTCTTGATAAACAGGTGAGTCAGAGATCTCAGGTGTGATTAGAAGATAAACATCACTTCCTGCTAACGATGAGTCATGTGACTGTTTCCTCTTCAAAACTACAATCGATGCTGATTGGACAGTTTTTCACCCAATAGGACGACTTATTTAAAGGGACAGTTCAACTTTCAGTGAAACGGCTATCTTAGCTTAGCACAGATACTAATTATAGGGGGAAACTGATAGCTTAGCATAACGACGAAGAAGTGTGTGTGTGTGTGTGTGTGTAATCTCTGAAATGTTTCTCTGTTTCCTGAATCTGGATTAAATCTTTTAATCTGTTTGTTAGTGAGACCCAGTGAGAGTCAGACCAGTGTTCCCAGTTCAAACCAGCTGTAGTACTACTACTACTAATAATAATAGTAATAATAGTAATAATAATAATAATAATAATAATAATAATAGTAATAATGATAATAATGGTAATAATAATAATAGTAATAATAATAATAACAATAATAATAGTAATAATAATAATGATAATAACAATAATAATAACAATAACAATCGTAATAATGATAATAATAATAATGATAATAATAATAATATTAGTAATAATGATAATAGTAATAATAATAATAACAATAATAATAGTAATAATGATAATAATAATAATAGTAATAATAATAATAATAGTTATAATGATAATAATAATAATAATAATAGTAATAATGATAATAATAATAGTAATAATGATATAATAAAGATAATAATAATTATAGTAATAATAATAACAATAATAATAGTAATACTGATAAAAAAAATAAATAATTATAATTATAATAATAGTAATAATGATAATAATAACAATAATAACAACAATAATAGTAATAATGATAATAATAATAGTAATAATAATAACAACAATAATAGTAATAATGATAATAATAATAATAATACTAATAATAACAACAATAATAAATGATAATAATAATAATAATCATAATAACAATAATAATAATAATAATAACAATAATAATAGGTATAATAATAATAACCATCATATAATAATAACAGTAATAATAACATTTTAAATATAATTATATTTATCAACCTTTCATTAACCCTTATTAACCCTTTGTTGACCCTTATTGACCCTTATTAACCCTTTGTTGACCTTATATTGAACCCTGCTTTATGTGAGTAACCCAGGAAGGTTTTGGTTCATCAACGTGACTTCCACATTATCTGATCTCTCTCTCTCTCTCTCTCTCTCTCTCTCTCTCTCTCTCTCTCTCTCTCTCTCTGCATGTGTAGCGGTTGTCTCTCGCCCTCAGGTTCAGACTCGTCCCGTCAGTCTCGTTCTCGTCTCTCTAAAGATAAACTTCATTCTTCTTCACTCAACCACAAACACTTCCTGTTCTGTCAAAACACCAGACGAAGAAACAGCTCCTGCTCCCTGCACACAGGAGACATTTACAGACGTCACACTGGTCCTGTTCCTAGCCCCAGTCCTGGTCCGGGTATGTAACATTAACCTGGTTCTGGTCTGTCACCATAATCTGGTCCGGGTCTTTTACCTGGACCTGATAATGTTAATGAAAAATGTTTTCAGGGCGGTCGTGTAATGCTCTCATCCTTCCGTTAACACTTTGTCCTCCTAATGAACTGTCTGTCAGAGAGTCTACCTGCCAAGGTGAGGACAGACAGACAGACAGTCAGATAGACATTCAGACAAACAGTCAGACAGACAGTCAGTGACACCATTGCTCTTCTTTTACCTCCTTGTTATTATGGTTTTATTGTACTGCTGTTGCCCCTGTGGCTTCTGTTGTCCCTGTTGCCTGTGTTGCCCCCTGTTGCCCTCTATTGGCCCTGTTGCCCCATTGCCCCGTTGCCCCTGTTGTTCCTGTTACCTCTGTTGTCTCTGTGGCCTCTGTTGGCCTCTGTTGGCCCCTGTTGTCCCTGTTTCCTCTGTTGGCCTCTGTTGGCCCTGTGGCCTGTGTTTCCTCTGTTGGCCTCTGTTGTCACTGTGGCCTGTGTTGGCCCTGTGGCCTGTGTTGTCTCTGTGGCCTGTGTTGCCCCCTGTGGCCTCTGTTGGCCCTGTGGCCTGTGTTGTCTCTGTGGCCTCTGTTGGCCCTGTTGCCCCCTGTTGTCCCTGTGGCCGCTGTAGGCCCCCTGTTGCCTGTGTTGGCCCCTGTGGACTCTGTTGCTTATGTTGCTCCTGTTGCCCCGTGTTGTCCCTATGGCATGTGTTGCCCCCTGTTGCCTGTGTTACCCCCTGTTGCCGCTGTCTGTCTAGTTTATGTTAGTGTCGGCAGCGTTGCGGCACACAGCAGCAGTTTGTTTTGAAGAGACATCAAAGCTACCAGCATGTTGCTGCTGGCGGGCGGCCATGACGGTCTTCATGCCTACGTGATGTTTGTTCGAGTCCTGACAGCGAGGTTTGATGAAGAGATGAAGGGGAGATAAAGATAGAGGACAAACATGCAGATTAAAAGGCAACAGGTACGACTGGTTTGGGTCCAAATAAACAACCACTGGTCAGATGATGTTTCCCAGCAAGCAGTGGGGCAATGACACCTCAGTAACATGATTGGATGTACAGAGAACCAATCATCTGTTACCCAACAGAGTAATGGAATCTGGTGAGAAGCACTACAGCACTGTGATAAAACACTGAGTTGATCTCACTTGATTAAACCTTCTGTCTGCATCCAGTCAAAGTGCTGCTAACAAACTCGTGATGGGTTTCTTCTTGATGTCTCGACAGAACATCCTGCTTGAACTTTATACCTCACTTTTAAGGTTCCATATGTCAGATAGTGAATCCTGTCTCTATAATAATCAGTGTGTGTGAGCAGAGAGTGAACGGGTTGTAGCGTAGCTTTGTTCCTCTGCTGCCTGTGGACTGATTTCTATGTGTCTCTATGTAGGGATGAGGGTCAAAGGTTGTGACCTTTATGCTCCCGAGTGCCTTCTCTCTCCACTTCCCTACAGTGCCAACAGTGGGCAACACTAGCTAACGTTATATTATAAATGGAGTCTGCTAACGTCTACCAACGACTGACACCCACCACAACACAGAGTCCAACACAGAGTCCAACGACGCTGACTGCAGTTCAGTGAACTGCCACTGATGGCACTATTAACAATGGTTTAATGAACGTTACATATAGAACCTTCAAAGCAGCCTGCAGCTCTCAGAATGATCCCTCAGAGATCCTCCAGCTGCGTCTTATCAACGCTTGAGTCACAAAAATATCCTGATTTTCCAGGGAGCTGTAAACATCATCTGGCTGAGAGATGCTATCAAAGCGCGATGCTCTGAGCTGCGCAGATAGAGATCAGACCGGCACTGTCATGCCTCTTTAAGAAGACAGTACATTTCTATGAGTTGTCCTGCTCCGATAAGACTTCTCACGGCACGAAAAACATCGAGTATCAGCACACTCATAACACACCAACACACAAATACACTCCGCAGTGACCTGCTGTGTATTAGTGCAGTTTGATAGCTTTTATCTTCTCTTTCATCTTTGTTTCCAAAGTTTTGCTTTTTTGGCTTTGAAGCTGATATGATTTTCATTTCTTTCTTCAGCAGCTATTTGTTTATAGGGGCCCCCTCCTCCCTCCATCCTCCATCATCCATCCATCTTCTGCCTGTTCTCCAGCTGCAGCTTGTTGTATCAGCACACAGGGAATTATTTTCAACCTGTGAGTTTATAAAGTTAACACTCACACAACAACCACTGTCTTACTTCTATTTACTAATAATAACACTCTAGGCTGGGGAACTACAGTTCCCATGATGCTTTGGGGGATGTCAACAGGACGTACGATGTTGAATTTTTTTGTTTTTACATTTCCTCAATAAAATGTGTATACACACTAGACCTATGTTATATATTGTGTTCAGATGTATACTTACATTATCCCAAATGCGTCCGAATAATAAAACAGCTCATGGTCCAGACCAATACACGCCAGGTTTTTACTGATGCTTTTGGTCCAGCAGGGTTGCGGTTTTATTTTTTGGTGATGCAGCATCAAGTATTTAGACTAGTTTGCGGTATAATTCAAGAGTCATCGGATCAGCCTGTTGTATTTTTTATGCTAACCGTTTTCTTCTTTCTTCCAGTGTCTGGGAATGCATAAAAGTAAAATCAATCAATTAATCAATCAATCAATCAATCAATCAGTAAATCTTTGTTGCTCACAGCCAACCAATACATTTTAATACATTTTATGCATTGTGTGTAAACCATCAGCAATAAACACATCTTGCAGTGCAGATTTAACACAACCCGCTGAGCCCCAATATGTTATAATAATACAGCAGTATATATAAACCAGTATTATCTTTTAATGTCTGTTGTAAAGCAGTTTAATCCATTATTTTGTACGATGCATTAAAGTTATATAAAGTATGTCTAAACTTTGTTTCATTCTTTCTCCATCACCTGTCTCTCTCTCTCTGTCTGTCTGTCCGTTGGTCTGTCTATCTGTCTGTCTGTGTCTCTGTTGTAAATCACAACCATGTAGCATCAAATTGAAAACATCCATTAGTGCAGAGCCACATCACAGTGAGGGGACGGATGGATGGAGGGGCAGATGGGGGGGGGTATCTCATGTCAGCAGACGGGATGATTTATTTAGGGGAGGAGAAGAAGAAGAAGAAGAAGAAGAAGAAGAACAAGGAGTAGAAGAAGAGGGATGAAATGATTTGCGTGTGAAAAAGCAGTGATGTAGATCTGCAGAGAAAAAGAAAAAGGAGATAAAAAGATAAGAAGACAGGATGAGGTGATTGTTGGTGAAAGGATAGAATTACACAGCTCAGGATTATCTGTGCTCAGCTCACCTGGTTTACAGGTGAGAGACAGGTGAGGCGTTGGCTGATGAGCTGAGAGCTGCTGCGACTTCAAAACATCTTTTACCCACAAGCCTGATCTGTGAAAACACATTTAAACATCAGCCAATCAGAGGAGAGTGCTGCCTTTCTAAACAGGACAGGAAACAAGTTGTTCAGTCGAGGTCACCTGTCAGGACTTTAATGTTCTTTTTCTTCAACAGAATGACCTCTGACATTCCTACAGAAACTTACTGTGTTTAAATGTTGGTGGCACAGAAAGGTCTGTATCATCAGCATACATACAGAGTCCTTTTTAGTGGGTTCAGTGTTTACCATGTTCACCATCATCAGTACAGATGAAACTCTGGTGAAAGAGAATTCTGAGATCTTTGTCAGATTAATATAATAAAATAAGGATACTGTATTGATTTCAGCTATTAGAGCCAAAATCCTACAGCCACCAATGCAAACGATGATGTTTTGTTGCTGTCATTCTGTATACAAAATAAAGAAATAGAGGATCAATAAAGTACAATTCATCCTGAGGGGAATATGAATGTCTGATGTGTTGGACACTCCCCTTTTGTTGGATATTCACCTATTGTTGGACACTCACCTGTTGTTGGACACTCACCTGGTGCTTTCAGCTCTAGCACACGTGACCTGTGATTCTGGCCTATATCTTGAATCTCATCTGCTGACGGTCATTCAGCAGGTACTTTGTAATGGACTCACCTGGTTCTCTCACCTGTCTAGAAAAGGTTAAGAATGTCAGCGTGTCGTGTCTTATTTGTTATTTCCTGTCCCAGAACTGAGTGGTAAACCATACTTTTATTTTCTACATTTAAATAAAACTTTATTGAACACTGTGTGCATCAGTCACAGTGTGTCGGGATCAGAGTGGGTGGTTGAGTCTGTCTGCCAGCCTCTGAACACTGAACATAATTATGTACTGATGGATGATAATGTAAACTGAAGGGAAGGTAACGAGTGAGACGAGGAAAAGGGCAAAAGAAGGAGTGATTTTAATGGAAGGTAGTGAAAGAGAGGAGGAGGAAAGAGGAGTCCGTTTGAGGGTTTTAAAGGTTCACAGTAAGGACAGCAGAGTGACTCCTGTCCCGACGCGTTCTTGTCAAAACAACATTTATTACTCATATGGACTGAAACCAGCCAACATCCAAACACCAGCTCTTTGATCCTCTGCTGCAGGGTTCTCACTCTGAGGCTCCAGACCCAGGAGGGGACGCAGGTCCACATGTGAACGGTGTTAACACCATAGTGAACGGAGCACTGCCGGAAATCTGTTCATTGTGATTCAACCTCTGGTGTTTGTTTAACAGATTAACATTTCAGCACAGCAGAGTCCGATACTCAGTGAAGTCTCCTGATCTCAGATGTTTGACACAGGAGCTCTGGATCAGGGTTTTTAGCATTTCATAATCTTATCAATAGACACAACGTTGATGATGTGTTCAATGTCACGGTTCATTTGTGATAACCGTTACAGTGTGAAGAAACATTTACTGCACATAGATGTGTTATATACAGTGTAAACTCCTGTAAACATTTGTTTGGTAATTATTCGGCTGGGATGGGTGTATGTGCTGTAAGTGATTACTGCTAGTGATTAGCATTAGAAGCTCACTGGCTAATATAGATGTTGGCAATTAATATTCATGATGAGCGTTACAGAGTAATGAGTGATTGGCAGATTAAAGTGTGGAGCAACATTAGCAGTTTATCTGGTGTTATTTTATAGTTTTATCTGACAAAGTCAGTGTAAAGAAAGTGTTCTGTGTCACTGAAACTGTGTTAAAGTCAATTATATTGCTAGTAGATGCAGTAAGCTCGTAGAGTTAAACCCATATGTCAGTAGAAATGAGTAGGTAACAGGGCTATACCTAAAGTACCTAAATCAAGTAGTAAAGGGGTAACACGAGGACTTCAACCTGAAAAACATAAAAAAAAGAGTGGAACAGAGTTGTGGACTACTCATACAGGTGTAACATATTATTTAGTTTGGGTGCAGTCTACACCTTAAATGATTTCTGATATTATGTTTTTACAGTACATTATGAGCAGTTTATTGCAGAATTATATATGGAGATTATTATAGCCCCCTTTACAGATGATATGAACAGTGTTCCTGTGTATCATTATAAATATGTTTTGCTGGTAACTCTGTAATTATTGTGTCCAAATGCACTAGTCTGGACCTGACTGGCGCTTTTCAACAACAACCTTTTAACTCCATACATACGTTTAAAGGGATATTAACATATTTAATTTCTCTGGTCTGTAACAATTCATCTTTTTGTTAAATCCGTCAGTATAATTCTAGATTCTGCTTTATTCTCTGTTACATTTAAATAAAAGAGAAAACAAGAGTCTGTACAACAGTTTGTTTAATGTGAGACATTCTGACATATTTTCATCTGACAAATCTCTTCAGTCAACAACCGTCTGATTCAGTTTGTTCTTTCATTCTGTATGTAGGCCTAACAGGTTTACTGACCATTCAATAAATAACCCAGACAACAGAAACATTGCGATAATCAATTATAGATTCAATGTACTTTCTGAATTCAGTGACTTTAAAATAATCTTTGAAGGTCTAATATTTTATGTTTTTAGTAAATCTGATCAGAAAACAGAGAGACTTCTTACTAAAATCTGTTCAAATATAAAAGAGGACATTAGAAATAAAGACCTGGTTCTTTCTGAGGTAATTTGTGGTTTAATATTATTTCGAAATAACTGAGTCCTGAGCATGAATGTTAATACTTGGCTATGGAACATTTGAAAAAACTGTAAATTTGGTAAATTGTGATTTATGATTTTGGTCGATATAAATAAAATTTGACTTGACTTGTGTTGAAGCTTCAGCCACATCTCATGGCCTTCTTCAGCAAACAGTGTTCCACATTTGCAAATAGGGATAGTTTAGTTTGTTATCACGTGACCCAATGCACCTCAGTTCTGAGAACCCTAAAAGAAGTGATGCATCTCACTTCTGGAAGATTCTAAGAAGAGTGATACACCTTACTCCTGGGGACTCTAAAGGGAGTGACACATCACTTCTGGGGACTCTAAAGGGAGTGACACACATCACTTCTGGGGACTCTAAAGGGAGTGACACACATCACTTCTCGGGACTCTAAAGGGAGTGACACACCTCACTCTGGGGGACTCTAAAGGGAGTGACACACAACACTTCTGAGGACTCTAAAGGGAGTGACACACCTCACTCCTGGGGACTCTAAAGGGAGTGACATACATAACTCCTGGGGACTCTAAAGGGAGTGACATACATCACTCCTGGGGACTCTAAAGGGAGTGACACACCGCACTCCGGGGGACTCTAAATGGAGTGTCAACTCACTCACATGATAACCTGTAGAGACCCTCTACCCCGAATATGTCACCTGTACCGAAATTCCAGACTTCATTTGACAACAGACAAAACCATGAAATGCCAATTGCAACTCTTTTCAATGAGGAAGGCCATAAGATCTGCCTGAAAGTTCCAGAAACACCACAAGTGTATGGTTCTTGTTTTAAGGTATTAGGCCCAACAGAACTCTGGATTTTGAGATACCATTTTGACATAACATTTAATTTCAGTTAATTCACTTTCTATCCTGAAAGCGGTACTCGAGGAAGACTGGAGCTGGAGTCTCTGAGCTAGAAAAGGATCTTCTTCAGAAACATAAAAGTACTCCATTCTTGTCTTCAGAAAGTTTCTCATGGACCAAAGTTTTGGTTCAGTTCGAGTTTAGTCCTGATATTCCACGCCCTCTCAACTGCATCCAGTAGTTCAGCAGAAGTTCAATATGTCATTCAGTAGTTATTGTATGACACAGTTTGTAGTAGACTAAGTATCTGTTTGGGCAGTAGCAATAGTTTCTCTCATTGTAGTAGTTGTAGTATCAGTAGTCCCAGCAATGGAGATAATGCTGTATCATCAGTCATCATAGTGGTACATGTAGGGTAGCAGTAGTCGTGGTAACGGCTGTGAGGGTAGTGCTGCGTCACTATTAGCATAGCTGTACATGTTGGGGTAAGCATGGTGGTAGTTGTGGTAACAGTAGTTGTAGTACCAGAAGCCGTGGTAACGATGGTGGGGGTAGTGCTGTGTCAGTAGTCATCGTAGCGGTACGTGTTGGGGTAGGCGTAGCGGTAGTCGTACCCATCGGCTCGCTCTGTTTTGGTCTGCAGGTGTTCGGGCTGAAATGACAGAGACTTGATGACTCCACCTGACTCCTCCGTCACTTTTACCTCAGTGGAGTACGAGGAAGAGGAGGCGTCGTCCATCAGGGAAGAGCAGCCTGGAAGACCAGGAGGTTTTGGGGGTGCACAGGGCTGGTAAGACTGGAGGCCAGCAGGAGGTTTAGGACATGATTGATAAGAAGGGAGGGCTGCAGGAGGCTTTGGACAGGGCTGATAAGAGACCTGAGGAGGAATACTGGTATTAATGTGACAGTTCAACCACCTGCTTCTTAGTTACTGCTGCCTGTCCAACTCTCCAATATACACATACACATACAATACAATGACAACAGAAGTTATTTCCCATTAAAAGTTACTACAACCAGTTACGAAAACTGGAAATGTCCAACTCCAGATCTCACAGACTGGGGGCCAATGAGAAGAATTAGGGTCCCCAGTTTTCCCCAACCTCCCTCCTGGGAACCTTAGAAGAAGAAACACACCTGTGGACTGTAATAGAAGCGACACACCTCTCTCTTAGTTACTCTAATGAAGTGACACACCTGATTTACAGGAAACCTAGAAGAACTGACACACCGGATTTACAGGAAACCTAGAGGAAGTGACACACCTGACTTCTAGTGACCTTAAAGGAAGTGACCCATTCCTGGAGACATTACTCTCTTCTTACTGCCGCACGGTCCTCAGCCCTCAAATCTAAGCTCAGTTCTCTGCAGTTAGACCCTTCTGAACTCTGCTCACCTTGGTTGTCGTAGTGATGATGGTTTGCAGTGCTGCAGGGGACCCTGGGGCGTTGCTGGGGTACCGGCAGGGGTACTCTGCGCTGTAGTAGTGATGGTTGTCACCATAGGGGGCAGAGCTCTTCAGCAGATCCTTCCAGCCTGCAGGAGGCTTTGTCTGTGGGTCGAAGGAGGAGGGGGAGGACAGAGGAGCCGACGATGAAGTGGAGGAAGAAGAGGAACCCAGGACCGGGGCCACCCTGCACATAAACAAGGATCTAGTTAAGACCTGTTTAGACTGTCTATTAGTGGTTTACATCTATGTATAAAGCAAGGAATCTCTATCTGTGTGTGTGTGTGTGTGTGTGTGTGTGTGTGTGTGTCTGTGTGTGGCTCAAATATCTCTGCAGATCAGGATCAGACTGACCTGAGAGTTTCAACATGGCTGCTGTGTGGTTTAAGGGTGTGCAACGTCGGCTTTGTTTGGACTACAAAGATACAGTTAATAAATTATTTAATAAATTATTTAGAATTCCGCTAGCATTACCATAGCCACCATAGCCATGTGCGCACCAGAGCCAATCACTGCAGAGCCCTAATGTGTAGTGATTGAGATCCTGACCCACCAAACATCCTGGAAAGTGACAAAGTTAAGTTTTTCACTCTAAATTACATAATTCTACATAATCACCAGCACTAAACTGGACGCTGTCTGACTTCCTCACTCGCAAGACGGAGAATGTTTTCTGGTGGAAAGTAAACTGATGTCTCGGTCCGGAGGGCTGGCGGTCGCGGTGATTTTTGATCACAAACACTCTGTGAGTTTTTCGCCGGTGACAGACGCTGTTTTTTTTGCAGAAATGTAACGGAAGAGTCAGGAGGACAGGCGGGAGGACAGACAGGAGGACAGACACTTCTCCACGTACAGCTGTGGTATTTTTTTTCCTCATGTAAGTTGCCAAAGACAGTTACAGTTACTACGTTACCATTGTTTGGTCCTGTAACGTTGCTTTGTGGGACATTTCTCTTTATTAAGTTGAGTGAGAGACCTGTGCAGTTATCAGACTGTCTGACTGACACGCCCTCGCTCTCTCTCTCTCTGATGTATGCTAGCCTATATTACAGGGCTAAATAATATGTCCTGCCCAGTTCGTTTACTAGGCTATGCTACAAGTTAGTCTGTTTATGCTGCCAGGTTTCATCCCATTTCAGATGTAGTTCACTTTGTTCTTTCAGAATTTATATGCGCTGACCATGAGGTGTGGTACTTTCACATTAGTGGAATGGGGTTCATCTCCCTACAGTGTCCTTGCTAAAAGACAAATTATATGAAAACACAATAGTTATCAATCTACACATTTCACAACAAACCTAAATGTCCCTGACGTCCCACCTTCAAACACAACCTCACTTGGCCATCCATGAAAAAGCTACTTAACCTCCCATTTTCTATAGCAATACATACTTCCTACGGGCACTACACTAGTTACCATAATCTGTAATCTGGTTTAAACCTGTTAAAAGTCTAGGATTATGTCCAGGATCTAAACTGGTTCAGAATCTGGTTTACAACTGTTTACATTGCCAGGATCTAGACTCTGGATCAGTCTGTGTGAGGCTGACCTGGGGTCACAGAGGTCAGAGGTCATGGGATACGAAGGTGAGGCGAGGTATCCTTGGAACTCGTAGCCAGGCCGGCCCATGTAAAGCCTGGGATTGGTTGGTTTTTGAAGTGCAGGCGAAGTATCCCCTAGTGCATTATGAGGGTTGTAGTAGGGGTCTGGGCTTTGGAATGCTGGGTAATGCTGTGGGAAATTTGGCTCGATGAAGGAGATTCTGTCTGATGGATCGACACAGGAGAGGAGGGCGGGGCCCAGAGCCTGGAACAGTAAACAACAACAACAATTAAACAAACAAACAACAAACAACACCAACATTAACAAACAGCTGTTGTTATTTGTTGTTGGCGACCTGTGTTTCGATGAGTCGTCTCTTGGGTGTGAACGGCGGCGAACCCACTCGTCTCTTCACTGAACTTCTTCTGGCTTCAGTCTCGGACTTGGACTCTGGTCTGGGATGATCATGGACTCCTTTAGCCTGAAGGATGACATCAACAGTAAACAGACTGTCAGGATCAGGCTTAGACTCAGTAAGACCTTCAGAATTTGGTTTAAACCTGTCAATACCTTTTTTAGTGTGTTTATGATTTCAAGATCCAGTTTAAATCAAGGATTTGGTTTAAACCTGTTACACTGATAGAATCTGGTTTAAAAGTTTGAAGATGGTGGTTCAAGATTGGGTTAGAACTGTTTAAACTGCAAGATCATATTAAAACTGTTCAGACTGCTATACACATAAATGTCCAGGATCTGGTCTTCACTCAATTACTCTGTCAGGATTTGCTTTAGCCCTGTTAGATTGTCAGGATCTGATTTAAACATGTTTACATTGTTAGGATCTCATCAAGACCCATTTAGACTGCCAGTACATTCAAATCTGTTACTGCGTTTAGGATACAGTTAGATCAATTTAGACCTGTTTGCATTACCGCAATCTGGTTCAAACCTAGTTACATGTGTTGGTTTATCATTCAGGATCTGGAATGGATTTTCTGACTGTTTTTGCTCCTAAATATGCTGCATTCAGAATCAGAATCAGAATCAGAAATACTTTAATAAACCCAGGGGGAAATTATTTTTGTTACAAACTCCAGATATACAATCAACATATATTAAGAACAAAATATAAATATATAAAATAAATAAAACATTATTAAGCCTCTTAGCTTTACCATGATAGTTTTTGTGTGTTTGTTGTCTGAGGTGATGAATCAGTAGAGGGTAAAGAGGGTAGAGGTGGTTACCTGGAAGAAGATGGCCTTTCCGTCGACTCTCCAGAAGTTTGTGACGGGGTAACCGCTGTGGCCACGACACGGTAGCAACTCCAAGGTGGCGTTACAGCTTGGACACAGCTTCTCTGAAACGCAGAGTCCAGTCAGGTAAACATGGACACACACCAGTGGACCATTAACAGGTTGTGGTTTGTCTTACTCTGCTGTTTCTGCCGGGCTTTGTCACAGATGGCAGGGCGGAGCTGCAGTCTGGACCCGTCAGGCAGCGTGCAGCCTCGAGAACAGACCACCACGCCTAGACATGATTTCTTCAGGATCTGACAGTTGTGATTGTTGGTGTTTCTCATCGCCCAGCCGGAAAGATGTCTCTGAGCGTTCTTATCGTCAGCTAAAAACAAACCAACAGTTAGCTGTAAGAGTTAGGAAGCATCTCAGACTGTTCACCGACAAAGTTAGCTGAAACTACCACATTAGCCTGATGTCTCTGAGTGTTCATGTTTTCAGTGTCCACTACTTTAACGTTAAAACTGCTCCACCAATCTGCTCAATTCAATTCAATTCAATTCAATTCAATTCAATTCAAAACTCAAAGATTGTCAACCAGCTCCTTGAGAAACTCTATGAACCAGCCTACCATAATAATATATTAAGGCTGGCTAACAACATTGTCTCTGACCTCAACCACATCCTGAACAGGGAATACAAATTATTGCTATCACAGTGGAGATACAGGGTTCTACGAGGGTAAAGTGCTCCTTTGTGCAGCTGTCAATCCTAAAATTAAATATGCAGCTTAATAATAATAGTACTGGAGCTGCTGTGATGTAACAGCATTTTTAGGCTTGATCTGCCAATAAATTATCATCACCATAATTATCAACTTCAGCTGGGAAACAAATAACATTTTCTGAGGCAGTGCTGCCAGAATGAGTTTCTATCTTTTCCTAGGTGATGCGCCGCAACTACTACAGGGGATGAGGGACTGATCTTCACTGAGTTTCCTGGACTATAGAACTGGTCTTTAAACAGTTTTCAGGACGTTAACAGGAGGGAATTCACATGGCAGAGCCTCTGCACAGATTTGGTGCATTAATTTAAGATAGGCTATGTGGCAGCAATTTGTTAAAGCAAATGGTAAATGGACTGTACTTGTATTGTGCCTTTCCAGTCCTCCAACCACTCAAAGCTCTTTTATACACATTCACCCATTCCCGCAGATGCATCAGCAGCAATTTGGGGTTCAGTATCTTGCTCAAGGACGCTTGCACTGCGAGTACCAGGATGGTGCACTCATAACGGTCAGAAGGTTGAGTGTCGAACGGAGGACACTTCTCACACTGGTCGCCATTTTCACTACCGGTACATTTTCCGTGAAATACTGTAATATAAAGCAATCCTTCATTCAGTTCTTCAGTCCAGTTTCATGAGGTTGTGAGGTCACTATAGTTAATTTTTATACAGACTTAACTACAGTAAAATGGTTTCTATGGGGACGAACATCATCACGCATGAATACAGTTGGACTCATTGGAGCCACAACAGTCTCAGCTTTCCAGTCAATTTATACAATTCTACACTTTAACACTGTTTATGGACACGAGTAAGCAGAAATATCCAAATATACAATAGGAGAAGATAACACATTTATACTTTCTGTATAAAGTGTCTGTAAAGGAGAAACTGATGGGTACCCATAGTATGGTACCCATATTGGTACCCATATTTGACAATAACCATACCAGTTTTTCCATCACCAATATTTAACCTAACCCTGGATATTCTCAACAAGCTAGCATGCTTTTACTGATCCTAGCTTGACCTTTAAAATCTTCAAACATAAAAATACAACAATCACTCATTCAGGAAGACAAAATCCTTTCAAACTGGGGGTCTGTTACACTGCTTCACAGAAGCATTAATAACCATAATTAATAACCACAGTGACCACAAATATATTAATGCTTGAATGTGTGTAAGCTTCTCACCGCTGTAGATGAACCGAACGTAACCGTCTGTCCACTCCTGGAACGGGTCGAACTGCTTTGTGTCCTGCAGACAGGTAGACAGACAGGTTGGTCAGCTGACCTCTAAACACTAAATTAAGAACCGCAGAGACGAAAAGTCTGACAGCTGAAAAACGATTCTGCTGTTTCAGTTCAGATTACATCAACATCCTGAAATAACGTGATTTTAATCTGTTCACTCAGCTCAATTTAGTTTTGTGTGAAAATATTCAAACAACTCATCCGAGTTCAGTTTCAGAGGCTGAGGAAGAATATTTCTCCAGTGAAGGAGAACAAAGGGCTGAGGCCAGAATACAGAAATCCAGGATAACTGAAAAAGTGAGAGTTCATTTGTACATTGTACATTTACCTTAAGACTGAGCAGTGGAGGTTCATATGTTACTGAGGTCATTCGGTTTACAAAGTAAATTTAGAACAAAGTTTCAAACGTTTCTGACTGTTAAACACAAAAATGTGATTCTCAAAGTGAATTCGAACCGACTACTTCTTTGTTACCCAAAGCTTTTATATCATAGCCCTTTATATATTTATATGTATATACATATATATATTCTTCATAAACACAATATATCAGTAACAATATCATGAATAAATGTAACAATAATAATGTTCACAATGTTAAAATAACAACAGTACTCAACTCATTGGCAGTATGTCGGTCTACCTGTAGTAATTCAGTGTTAGAAGAATAACAGTAATATGTAGTACCTGTTGTTGTTTTAATATTAAATTACTACTATTAAAGGACTACATATTACTGTTAATCTAGGTTTTGTGAAACATCCAATGTCTGTTTTTATTTAAGAGAAACTAAATGAGGAGGTCTGATAGAAGTTCTGCATTTAATTTTTACTACATTTATCTGACAGCTTCAGTTACGTTTCAAATGAAAGTAAAAACTGTATCATATGTTATAATAAATGAAACTAGCAGTACAGCTGAAACCATTAGTCCATTAATCAATCAGTCCATTGACAGAAAATCAATGAAAATAAAACACAAGTTTTTATCCACCAGTGAAACAGTGAATAACATCATTAGATGTTGTATCAATAAACTTCTTTATAAAATATGAAATAATGATATATAAAATCCCCACATTAAACATTTCAGCCATCTTTAAACAGAAAACAACCTTTTACCGTTATTGCCATTTGTGTGTGTGTGTGTGTGTGTGTGTGTGTGTGTGTGTGTGTGTGTGTGTTTGATAAAGATATTGATCAGCGTGAGAGCTGACTCTGGATCAGCTGTTCAACCTGACAAACTTTTCTGGTTTCAGTGAAAACAAAAATATAAAAACCAGTTTTTACTGTTTGAGCAACAACAGAGTGAAGAGTCGAGTCAGCGGCTTCACACACACACACACACACACACACACACACACACACACACAACCTTCAGGTAACCTTCAGACTGACACACAGAATACATTTGTAACATTTATTAACATATTTTATTTAATGAGCTGATTTTATGAACACTTTTGTTACCTGATCAGGAATTTTGTCATTAAATTCGCAGACTAATAAAGTGATATCTTTATTGATTTTTTACAGTAACGATCAGCTGATCATTTTTTACTGTTTGAATGAATTAAATCAGCTCAGAGCTAAAGTCAACGTTAAACATATTGTCTGTAAAAAGCATTCATTAAAAGTCATTTAATCTCTTGATTATATCGATCCCTGTGCTAAACTCTTCATCTGTAACATTATTATTTCTTTATTTTTATGACTTACCAATTCATCTGTTTTTATTGTTCTATTTTTTATATCTAAATTACACAACCCTAAAATGACCATGAATCCTTTCAGACCACAGAGTTTTACAGCCGACGGTGGCGAAGAAAATATCCCTGAACTCTACAATGAATCCGACACTGATGAGACATTTTGTGATTTCCTTAAATACTCTTAAAATTGTACAGACTTTGGTTGGAGGCTTTAATCCATAATTTCTTAAGTGGAGATCGACTGGACTCATAAAATCCTGACTATAACGAACTCTCAAACATTTAGGTCAGAATTAAAGGAGATATATTTGGACATCCTTTATCTGAGAATTTGGAGGTTTAGTGAGATTAAAAGGAGGTGATATGATACCGGCTGGTTGTGACTCATAAAATCCTGACTATAACAAACTCTCAAACAACAAATGACTGATTTACTGGAAGCAAAAAATAGCAATAAAAATGAATGAATTCATATAAAGATCTAAAACACAACTGATGACTTTACAGGAATGTGACTCAAAAGTTGAATTAAAAAATGAAACATGAAATGGGTTAGGGTTATTTCTTTGAATAGTCAGAAAAATGAACAGAGTTTGGTGCATTGTTTCTCAGGATGAGTCCTGCAGTATTTCCTGTTATATTCCAGATGTAATAAAACCAGTTAATGGAATGAATTAAATATGACTTTATTGAGTTTGGTTGGAGTGTACGATCCATTGTTTCTCAGCTGGAGTTCTGCTGGATCCCTAAAATCCTGATTATAACAAAAAAATGACTTCATATAAAAAATAAGTTTTAATATCACTAAACCTGTCTGTAGTAAAACGTTACTGGTACATGGACACACGTGTTTAATAAACATATTTGACAAAGCTGACCAATAATGAAACCTGATTGGACACAGAAGGAGTTTATATATATTTATAGAGAAAGCCTCCAACCAAACTCTGAACAACTTCTCACGTATTCAACATTTTATTTATTCATTTGTTCACTTTAAAGTAAGTTTAATTTCTTGAGTCTGGATATCGTTTTTTTCTCTGACACACCAAGTCTATCTCCTAAAATAAACAACAACAATATAATTATAAAAGATATTAGGGATGACAGCCACCAACCAAACTTTATACAATTAATATAACATTTCATTTATTTTCTCTAAATGTTATTTTTCTGCATTGTGTTCTTCCCTCTCTGGAGTGTAAATAATTAAAAACGGCCTGCGTGTAAACTCCTCTTCCTCCCATAGAAATACCAAAGTACGGCCTCCAACCAAACTCTATTTAAGAGCTGTTATTATATTTTATCTATATTATAATTGATATTAATATACCTGCTCTGAATTAATGACAATGTGAACATTAAGATGTTGGACAGCTTCCTCCAAACAAACTCTGTCTCTAATAAACTAATTATTATTAATTATTAATTCAATCAAATCACTTTCTCTCCATCGATCAGTCTGATTGATATGTCACTAATCGATGGCTTTATTGATATTTGGAAGGAAGGAAATGATGAACAGGATCCGGATTGGGATTAAAAAACGGATCTGGAATCAGTTTAAAGACTCATTGATTATCAGTTATTGATCAGTTCGGTACCTGAGGCAGTTTGGGGTCGTTGATGTCCCACGTGAACTTCATCCCGACCGAACACACACAGTCCGCCTCCTCGCGCTCCTCCGCCCGGGACATCCTCTTGGTCCTAGTCCGGGTCCTGGTTCTGATCCCAGTCCCGGTCAGTCCTCCTGATGGTTCTGATCCGGATCCTCCAGGTTCTGACTGACAGTAGAAGCGGACTCCGGTCACTCAGCACTCTGTGAACTTAAAACGGCGCGGGGCTCCTCCCGACGGCGCGTGCAGCTCCGGTGAGTCTCAGGTACGAAGTGAGAGGACAGGTGAGCCCGCGCGAGCTCCCAGAGGGAGGCGGAGGGGGGAGGGGGGGAGGAGGGAGTGAGAGGTTAGGGTATTTATGTATCACCAAATATGACTATTGATACCAATATTGATCAAACTTTGTTTGTTTGTTTGTTTGTTTGTTTCAGTATCAGGTAAACACCCCAGATGTGATGTCACAGATGACGTCAAAAACATAACACAATGAAATGAAACAAAAACATTTTTATTATTATTGATTAATTATTGCTGGTGATCAGTATGATCCGTTTCTGGTTTTCAGGCCTGTTCTTACAAAAAGATTCTCTTCATGTTTTATTAATATTTCACACAGGTGAACAGGTGTGTGTGTGTGTGTGTGTGTGTGTGTGTGTGTGTGTGTGTGTGTGTGTTGTGTAAACACTTCAGTGTTTCTACTAAAACAAACAAACTCATTAGTCATCAATTAGAGGACGAGAGGACGTCAGGGTCTGTCTGTCTGTCTGTCTGTCTGACTGTCTGTCTGTATGTCTTTCTGTCTGTCACACACAGTGCTACATACATACAATTCAATTTCAATTCAATTTTATTTGTATAGCGCCAATTCATAACAGAAGTTATCTCAGGACACTTTTCAAATAGAGCAGGTCTAGACCGAACTCTTTAACATTAATTACAGAGACCCAACAGTACCACCATGAGCAAGACCTTGGAGACAAGGGCAAGGAAACACTGCCTGTTAAAAGGCAGAAACCTAGGACAGATCCTCCGGCACTAGGTGGGTGGTCGTCTGTCTCGACCAGTTGGGGTGAGAGAGAGAGAGAGAGAGAGAGAGAGAGAGAGAGAGAGACAGAGAGAGAGAGACAGAGAGAGACAGACAGGTGCACAGCAACAACAGTATTGGCAATGGCAATCTAGCAGGACCATGGCAGGAGGCTCCACCAGGATCCATGAGAACCTGCGAGACGAGAAAGCACAAGAACTCCGGGGAAGAAGTGAAGTTAGTAACATGCATTAATGGAACATGAATGAGTGCAGAAAGAGAGAGGAAGAGAGGAGCTCAGTGCACCATGGGAAATCCCCCGATAGTCTAGGCCTATAGCAGCATAACTAAGGGATGGTTCAGGACTCACCTGATCCAGCCCTAACTATAAGCTTTATCAAAGAGGAATGTCTTAAGCCTACTCTTGAATGTGGTGAGGGTGTCTGCCTCCCGAACCACAACTGGAAGCTGGTTCCACAGGAGAGGAGCTTGGTAACTGAAGGCTCTGGCTCCTGTTCTACTTTTAGAGACTATAGGAACCAAATTGCAGCTCAGATCCAAATCCAGGATTTTATGTCCTTAAGACATGTTTGTAATTGATTAATTTCATCTGGCTTGATCGATGGATATAACTGTGTATCATCTGCATAACATGGAAAGTTAATGGGGTGATTCCTAATAATGTTGCCTAAAGGGAGCATATATAAAGTAAATAGTATTGGTCCAAGTACAGAACCTTGTGAAGATTCATCGTTAACAACATAACAATTGATTACGTTAGAATAACATTAACATTAATATATTATATAGTTATTGATATATTACATACAGTTATTGATATATTATCCACATTTATTAATATATTATATACAGTTATTAATATATACAGTTATTAATATATTATATACAGTTATTGATATATTATATACAGTTATTAATATATTATATACAGTTATTGATATATTATATAGTTATGTATATATTATATAGTTATTAATATATGATATACAGTTATCGATATATTATATACAGTTATTGATATATTATATACAGTTGTTGATATATTATATATAGTTATTAATATATTATAGACAGTTATTGATATATTATACAGTTATTGATATATTATATACAGTTATTAATATATTATATACAGTTATTGATATATTATATAGTTATTGATATATTATATATAGTTATTAATATATTATAGACAGTTATTGATATATTATATACAGTTATTAATATATTATATACAGTTATTAATATATTATATAGTTATTAATATATAATATATAGTTGTTGATATATTATATATAGTTATTAATATATTGTATACAGTTATTGATATATTATATACAGTTATTAATATATTATATAGTTATTGATTCGGACAGCAGATGAAAACCAACACTCAGCAGTGTGAAGCAGCTAGCTTAGCAGCAGCTGCCCGAGAGCGTCACAATCTGCTGATCCAATCAATTAGAATATTTCCGTCTTAAAAATCGAACTCAATGAGACATCGTTCAATTATGTTTTCAGAAATAAAGTTGTGTCCCACATTGTCCCACATCTGTTTTTTTGGGATCTGGTCTTATGTCCTGACTTGTGTTTTCCTCTAGTGGTGGCTACTAGTCTGGAGTCTCTAAATTGCTAAGCTAGCTGTGCACTGGAATAAATGCACAAAGGTATGGTACTGTACGAGGCAGTGGTTCCCAACCTCGGAGTCAGGATCTGCAACTGGGGTCACCAAAGCTTCACAAGTGGTCGAGAGACCTTCTCGATTTTAAGGGGCTATAAAAAACCTTTTTGATTATTTTAAATGTAAACTTTGAAGATCAACTCTCTGATAAGCAGCGTCATGCATGCACCTGCATTAGAAAAGTTCAAACAACCAAAGAGCTAAAAGAACTGAGCGAGTGTCAGGGAGAATAAAACACTATGTCAGAAAGAAGAATATTAAGTCTGATTGTTAAAATGATAAAAAATACAGAATACAGACAGAGAAACTCATCTTTGATCAATACTGACAAGAAATAATCAAACTTCCTGCAGTTACTGAGTTCACTGTTTGGGTTCATTGATCAGTTGATCAGCTCTTCTCTGCTGTTATTGATCAATAGGATATGAAATATAGATACGTAAATACGTCACTTGGTCAGCAGTCATTTACTCACTAATAGAAAAGGGTTGGGAAGCACTGGTCCAGTGTGGTGATGGGTTTGTATTTGTAAAAGATACAGACAGTATTTACAGACTGCATCTTTGACAGATTTGATTTCAATTGTTATATGATATGATATGATAGACATCTAGATACAGATCCATAAACTTTTTTTGTGCATGGACAGATTAGTTTGCTTTCACCAACAATTGGTGTTTGATCTGCAGTGGGAAGTTAGCATTATAAGGCTCAAATATGTTATACAGCTCCTGTCTTGGCCAAAGATGACTCAAGGTTTCAGACCTCTGTGTTAAAAGGAAGAATGTTCAGGTCACAACTTTCAAAATAAAACTACAGATTTTAGGCTAGATCAGTTCTGGGATCCAAAGTCTAACTGTAGCTGCTGACTCACACAGAGAGCTGTTGGTTTAGGAGCTTGTCTGTCGGACAAAAAGGCCCACTGAAAGAAAATGCACATTCAATTCAATTCAATTCAATTTTATTTGTATAGCGCCAATTCATAACAGAAGTTATTTCACATAACAAACAAAACTAGTCAACATAAATTATTTTTTTAATTCAGTATAATTAATAATAATTATAAACCAGACATCTTCCAGTCAGCACACACAGCTATTGTTCCTGTCTTTTTGCCTCTCTAACTGGTCTGTTCTCCAGACTACTCTGCAGATTTATGTCAATTTTCATCCTTTTTGTTCACCCAAAGACGAACTAACAGAAAAGTCAACAAGTAAAAATATGGTCCAGACCCCAAAGGTCCTGCAGCCTGAAAACATCATCCTGCACTGAGCAGTATTCTTTTTAGTTCTTCTGTATTATTTATTATTACTTTTCTAAAGTAAGCGTTACATCAGATTGTTCCAGTATCTCAATGTATCATATGTTTAAACTTCACTCAGAAATCAGATTTTTATTTCTGCCTGATGCTCCGGCTGCAGCTTCTCTGTCCATCAGTGAAGTTCTGCCTCCATCTAGTGGCTGAAACAAAGAACAACAGTCTGACTCTTACCTGCTGATCTTCTGTCAACCATTCCCACAGAATGTTTCTATCAGCTCTCAGTTGAACCCCGCTCCCCCCTCAGGTTGTGGTTTCTACATTTGTTTGTTTGGTTTTGCTGGCTGGTGGTTTGGTTTGGACAGAGATCGAGGCAAGCTGTTAATAATGTGCATGTTATAGCAGCATTTTAATGAACACACTGCCACTGTCACAATGTTCAGCTGTCTGCACACTCAAAAAGGAATGAGGAAAATAGTGACCAGAGGGAGTTCAGTTTGAACAAGAAGGACTCACTGCTGGTACACCTGAGCCAGGGGGACATCATAAGGAAATGAACAAATGAGGAGGTGCTCAGTCAGTGTGCTCAGACAGCAGAAAGAAGAAAACCGGTGAGTGTCAATCAACATTTTGATGATTATTTGACTGTCAGGCTGTAAACTGTGTGAGTTTGACTTCACTTTACTGAAGATTAACTCTCTATCTGCTCCCTCAGAGTGTTAAAACTCATTAACATTATTAAATCAAACAGGAAGCTTCCTCAGTGATCTCACAGCTGAGGACAGACAGTCTGATCAGAGTATTAAAGGGAGAAAAGACCCTCAAGCATCATGAACAAACTTATCTCTCAAATAAAGTCTAAAGAGCTTTTGTTCTGCATCAAACTGAAACACAAGAGGATTCAAACCTTTAATGGAACTGCTGAGTCTCTGCTACGTTACACACTGTGACAAACAGGTTACAACCTGCACATCTGCAGTTGGTTTCAGGGTGAAGCTGCTGACAGAAGACAAAGACAAACACTTCTGCTCTCTGTAGCGACTCTCAAACTCCCAGAAGCAGAAACCTAGTTAAAGTTGGCATTGAGCCACTTCGTTCTTCTCATTGAAAAGACAAACAGAAAAAAAAAACTGATTTTGTGGGTCTGCTGAGCATCAATCACTGTGAGGACCCTATTGTATTTGAAGGAATTCTTCTTTTTGTTTAATCTCTGAAAAATCTGCCCTTTTTGGTGGCCTAAACATGCTTTGAAACTCGTGAAACATGGCACAACATTCAACTGTGGCAAAAAAAAGCTTTCACTGCTCAGCA